AAAAAACGTGAAGAGAAGGGGAGAAGAGGGGGGGGGGGGGGGATATCAGGGAACATACTCAGCTCAGAGTACTTCCGGGTTCACAGCTGTCAAACCTTGGCCAATAGTGGCTAGGTAAGAATCAGATTGGAGATTCTCTGTCCCTGATCTGCTTAGAAAGAAAACATCAGAGGTCTCCATAAAGAGTACCTGTCACCTGCAAAATATCACATAGGGCTCTTGTTTGTGAAAGTAATAAAGTTATGCAGAATAAAAAAAAGTTAGTTTAAAAATGATAAAATGTAATTACAAAAAATTTAAAGGACCCCCCCATGCAGGCACATACTGTACATATAAATATGAGCACATAAAATGCGCGTATGTAAGCTGCAATTTCATAACACATATGGAGTGTCTACACACATGCCAGAGGAATAATTCTAGGGCAATCATTTATGATTAACTCTAAACTAACAAGCTGTAAAGATTTTTTAAAAGCATCACCTATGTACAGTTTTAGTCATCGTAGTTTTTTGCCCTTTTGCGGACACAACCAATTGTAAGGCTTAATATATTAAAAAAAAATTTTACCAAAAAAATGAGATTTTATTGTGTTTGTGTGCAATATGACTAAGTTTAATGATCTCGTTTTTTTTTTTACGGAAATCAATATTTGCGCAAATATTGTGCAACTTAAAAAATTGCCACACTACCATCTTTTAATTCATTATGCCCTCTGCTTTCAGAAAATATACTGTAGGTGTAAAAAAAGTGGTCCACAGCAAAAGAGTTCCATATCAGTTTGACACTGCCAATGTTAATTTATAATAGTTCATCCAATATCAGTGTCAAATGATTTTGTTGTCGTGTATGTGAAAACATTATGTGTTTTCATAAGTATCATTTGCTATAAAAGTGTGGCTGCCTTTCGTCTTGTTGCCATGTAATTATTGCCATGCTTGAGACCTTAGAATGGTGTGTGTATGATGTGCCAGGTTTACATCTAGAATTCTATACTTTTTTTTCAATATGTACATGCTCGCTCTAGTGTATTAGTCCTACATTACTCAGGACTGTCCTGCCATTAAACTGAATGGAACATGGCCTTAACTTACGTGTGGTTTGACCCTTCAGGGAATGTGGTTTATTTTCAGTCCAAATTCCAATAAGGAATGCTAGTAGTTATGTAATATGAACATATCATACCAACAGAGTCCTTTAAGATATTAGAAATTGCCATCTGGTTTATCTTCTCCAGTATCTACAACAATCTGAAATATCTGTTTTGGCTGGATTGACTTTTTAACCAGAAGGTTTATTTGTTTCTTAATCAAAAGAAGAGCCGGACTTTTTCAAATATTCCCTAACCTGTGTGGCTATAAGTATGGCATCACATACTTTGTATATTTTGCTGCCCTCCCCGGAAAATGAATTCACATATCAGTTTATCCATGACCACTTCAAAGTATGGCCTCATTTGTAAAGTAAACAATGGTCATAGCAGAGAATATTATTCCTTGTGACAGATGGATTTTTTCTGTTTACAAGCAGCTAACCAACTAAACACATTTCCACATTCTCGCTACAGTCTTCGGAGCCATGAGTAATGGCAATGGAGTTCACAAAATCCATTGCGATATTCTCGTAGAGACCACAACTTCAAAACACAAGGAAAACAAAATTGGTTTGATTTATACAGAAGGAAAGAAAAACATCTATGTTGTACATAGCAACTAAACAGGTCTTTCATTGTATAATCTGTTATAGAAAATCAGGAGCTGGAATTTTGTTGGTATGGATAACAAAAATTCTTGTGTTTTCATGCTTTATACGGTATATACACCATGCTGTATCATGACAGTAGACCTCTGCACCAGAGCTAGTAACGTAACATAGATCAGTAGAAAAGTAAAATGTCTGCGTATAACAGTCAGGATTCAAAACAAAGCCAAATTAGAGCATGCTGTTCTGTAGAATATATATAGCTCTGAATAACTGTACTTTGTAATGTCACTGGCATATGGTACTAATAAATGATTGAATCTTTAGTTTTGTATGCTTCTTTGAAAATTTTATATCGCTTTATGTTCTTCTGGCGGGGGCCCACTGGGGTAAGCAATTGACAGGAACAGGTTGTGAAGTGTCAATGCCTGTCAGATGCAGCAGACACCATTCCTCACACTATGCGGCAAAGTAAATGCTTTGCTGAGTGCCTGTGGAATAGCTCAACACATTCTTTACGTCTAGGTATCTGAGGAACGCTCAGCTGCTGTTAGGAATATGCTACCAGCACTTCTTTTTGATGCCTACGTAGACTAACACTAAATTAAGTATATTGTAATCTACATGAAAATTTCAGACAACAAGACACAAGAACAGATTGCCTCTCCCAAATAACCTTACCATCCAGGGGTATGGGAACTCTATTTACATGAAGTGCAAGAGAAGGAAGTGACTGAAGATACAAAGTGTCCTAAATGGGAACTGCCTTTATTTCTGGAGAACAAGCAATCAGATTCAGGCTTTCAGCTCCTGTCATTTTCAGTTTAGGGTACAGTCTGATTGATCGCTATCAGAAAATAAAGATGGTTCTTACAAGTATATGTGTAACCAAAACTTTTTTTTGTAAGTGGAGGATTGGGTAGTGACGTTTTTATTGCTTCCAAGTGTGAGTGGGGGTGAGTCATTGCCCAACAAACTTTCTCTTGGCGAATAGGAGCAATATTTGGACCTGCTGGCTCAGTTCCATGGAAGGGTGGGCGGGTAGGTCACCAGAGTTAGAAGATGCTCAGAATTAAAAATCCATGTGAATGAAGACTGAAAAAAAAGTATCAGGTAATCATTTCAAGAGTCAAAAAAACCTTTATTGAATTCACAAATGTTAACAAGAACACAGCCAATGCATTTTGGGGGTCAGGAATTCCCCTTCATCAGGGCTTAAGCAATGAACAATAAGACACTGATGGACTCTAAATGTACACCCCTGTACACGATCCTATTTCTCAAGCAGGAGTGGAAATCCTTGGTGAGAAATCCTGGTGTTGCTGTAACAGGAATAGAAGGAAAATCTTTCAATGGGAACACATGCTCCAGTGACCACCGTCTAAGATGGAATTTTCCTCACTTTGTAGAGATTTAATTTCACTTCCTTGTTGCATCTTTGGGCCAGAAAATAAATGGAAATGTCCCCTATGGGACAGACAAAAAAAAAAAGGAGCTGACCATACAGATTGAATTTTGCCCAAGTCAGCAGGATGGAATTCAAACTGTGGGTGGCCATGTCGGCACCACTCCATGGAGCCGGGCCAAAATTTTACAGCTAAACAGTGACTGAAGCCAATAAGCTGCAGTCACTGTTCGGTTATTCTGAAAGCTACAGGCATCAGCTGTCAGAATACAAGAGCCCTGCTGGGCATGTTTAGCATGAATTGGGGAATCAAGCAATTTTTCTCATTAGGCCAAAAAACTGCTAGTGTATGGCCACCGTAAGGTTAGAACAGCAGAAATGTAGTGTGAGAACGTAAGTGGAGAAATTGCAGATCAGAGACACATTCACTCAACAATTTTATCCTATAAGGTCAGGATCCAGAGATGTACATTTTCCTTTGTGGCTGGAAACATTTGTTATATTTGATAGTGGTGTCTGGATTAGAGAAAGGTTGGGCAGGACCTGAAATCCATACCCTGTTCCTAGTTTTGGGCTACTGCATAATCAAGATGTTGCACTGCTGTGGGATCTCTCCAGATACAGAATATTGTCATTAAGCTGGAGCCAGCTAAGGAACAGGCAGCAGTGTAGGTGCCTTAAACTGGCCATATACTGTTAGGCTTCTCTCTCTAGCCCAGCAAGCTAAAAGAGAGGAATCTACAGATTCCACCATCCAGGGTAAATGGCATGGATGGAGGAATCTTCCCCTGCCTGCTACTGTATTCTGACAACCAGCACCTACAAATGTGATTGAACAGTGATTGCAGCTGATTAACTGCAGCCACTGTTTGCCAACAATTTTTTTTACCCAGCTCTGTACAATATAACAAACACTAAAAGGCTCACAGAAAAAAGGGATTGAGGATGGGATTGGGTATAGAGAGATATTATTTGCTTAACCAGAAAACAGATTTAAAAACTCAGATTCAAGTGATCTCTTCCCTGCTGTGTATTTATATTACGTATTTAAAACAGGGATCAGCTTCAATATTTATATTATAGCAAAAAAAAAGACAAAAGATATTTTGTTAAACAATTATGTATTTCAGTTATCCTGTTTAAATATTTAGGATCACTTACCAAAGAGGCAGGCAAAGCACTGCCAGTAGGAATTTCTTCCATTCTCCTGCTGTTAATAAATAAAGTGGAGATTTCCAAAGTCTCATTGTGTAGATTATGAAGCTGTAAGTGTCTGTATCCTTTAATGAAGACAGAAAAAAAAACATTTACAACAGTAATTACTTTAATAGTGGATATGGGCTATTTCTGAAGTCCAGTCAAATCAAGTAAACATTAATTTCTACGTCTCATAGACTTACCCAACTATATATTTTGCACAGGACCTATCGTACCCCTAAGTTCCTGTTCAAAACAGGGGTCGGGACTGACCCTTCTTGACCAAAATGTGATTTTCGCCAAGGATCCCTGATACATTTATTGTGGAGATGTCCTACATTGGTCCAATATTGGGGTGCAGTGCTTAAGGGTATGCATTCTGTCTTCGGTATATTGTTAGATAACACACCTAGAGTCTGCATACTTGAAATTTTTTATATCCCTTGGCTATTGTAAATTGGCTATACACAGAGCCTTAATTACCGCTAGGAGACTGGTGGCAAGGAAATGGATATCCACCATTCATCCCTCTGAGTTAGATAAAATTTATGTTTGAACACATTACCTATCAATATAGAGGGATTGGTGAAGATTATTTTTTTTACGTTGGTCCAGATGGCTACACTATCGTACACATTCAGGGCATTCTAGAATTTTTTCATGTTATTATTATTATTCAGACATATGAGGGTCGTATATGTGAGCTCAAGATATAATTTGACTAATCCAGGTCCAAGTCTCTATGCTTCTTTTTGACTTACATCAGCATTGTAAATGTTTATAAGATGCCTAGGTGATTTGACCAAAATGAGTTAGTTCCTGGATATTGTTTTATCGATATGTGCATATGGTGGATGTGGGGTTTCCGTTTTTTTTTTCTTTTTTGGTGTTATTGGTTTTGGTTGTTTCTGTATTTATGTTATATTTGTTGTTATATATTTTTCTTTTATATTGTCTGTTTAAAAGAAAAACGTAATAAATATTATCTGATTAAAAAAGAACAAAAAACCCCCCATTCATTTCTGATTTTAGATTTGCTTTATGTATTTTGGTAGGCTGGATTAGATGGAGATAGGTCTTTTATGTCTATCATCATTATAAAAAAACAACCCCAGCAAATCCTTCAGTAAATGTGACAATGGTTTTTTTTTTTAAAAATACTTTAAAAATGTCTTTTCACTCATTATTTGTGAATGTTTAGGTTAAAAGGAGTACTCAATGCACAAGCACAACCAACGGACAAGTATGTTGGGTACAAAGCTATTTCTCTGTATCTGCTTTTTCTTGTTTGGAAGCAAAACATATTGCACAAAATTTTAGGCCTGTAACAGATGTATAAAAGATCGCCAACAAAGACCATGCTCATAATCTATTATGTAAAATTATTGATAATTCAAATGCTGTCAGTTCCTTGGAAGCAAAGCTGTGTTGCATGCAAAACAAATGATCATAACAAGAAATTACCTCTCTTTAAGACTTTAAGAGGAATAATTCTCTGGGCAGTTACAGCCGAGCTGTTATTCTCAACTACGGCAAACCGCAAAAACACAAGATCTTCAAAGTAAACGCGGAACATAAACTGCTCATTCCACATAGGGTTTAAAGTATTGCGATGGATGGGTTTAGTTCGGAAATGACAGCTGTCCACAGGCATACCAAGCACATCAATCTCGATACAAGGACTTCCTGTACTGTTGCTTGGACAGACATTCTGTCCTGAGACAATCTAAAAGACAAGTACACTTTTAGATTTAAAGCACAATGAAGGTAATTTACACAACCCAGACAGTAAGTCTCTTCACAATGATTTGTAAAGCTTTGCCATAGACACATATTTCATAGTAACCATGCAATTCATTCTTATTCACTTTGATTGATTTTCCTAAAGAAATGTCATCTACTTTATGAAAGGATCCATTGACTGATAGAAATTAAGTCTTAGGCTGAGAGGTCAGTGAAACCGTATCTCTGTCCAGAAAATTTGGTTTTGTTTCTATGTGATCCTGGTCCCTCCCTAAGCAAGACAGTTGATATAAATATGGATTTTGAGACCTTAGAAAGCTTTAACTGAGAGCCAATGAACTAGTTTGGGATACCGTCACCTCATTTAGTGGTGATTAAGAATAGAATTGCAAAGAACATATTTTTAAAGAACACCACTCAAGTGACCACACAGCAAGAGCAAAAAAAACAGCAATAAATATGACAATGGTTCTAACCGTTATCCACTCCATTCAAAACTAAAAGAATACGTTTTCTCTAGAGTGGGGCTCTACGGATTCATGCATTGTAAAACCGAACAGTATTTCCTGCCCATATATATTACTCTTCTAAGCAATAAGTGGGATCATTTCACAGATTAATAGTACTGATTAGAGTAGCCTAAACTGTGTGTGAAGAGTTTGGAATACATTTTTTAGTTACAGGTGTGTTCTACTACAGAAGCATGACAACAATTTCAGCACTTGGAACACTGACAGTGTATACTTTTCACATACTGTATATAACTTAAAAGAATGTTATTTTTCCATTTCAATATGTTTTAGGAAATGTTTCCAAGTATAAAATACACAAGTTGTAACAATTAGTAAAATCAGTGTGTCGCCTAGACCGTAGGCAATAAACAACGCCATAAAAGAATAAGAGGGAAAGGGAAGGGAGAGAGGGAAAGGGATTTACTGTAGAACTGGTATCAAACGGTTTACTGTAGAACTGGTATGTTAGGACTACAGGGGCAACAAAACTAAGTTTGCAACAGTAAACTTTCCCAAAAAAGGGGAAAAGAGAAAGGGGAGAAATGTGTAGAGGAGGTTGAGCAGAAAGGAGTAGCAGGAGTGGGAGTTAGAGAAGAGAGAGAGAAAAAAAAAAGGAAAAGAGAAGGAAGCGGTGGTGACTGCCACCTGGATGCTCCAAGAAATATGTTATTTTTCTTACAGATAAGGAATATATTGCTGGTTCCATGCTTTCTAAATCTCGGTCCAGGGGGGAGAATAACTGATACATTGGACAGCCCTTGTCCCATAGTACAGGTGGCTTTAGCACATATCCACAATGACCATTTGATTCAAACATGGCAGCATTCAAATGCAAAGGGAGATCTGAAAAAGAAAGAGAGATGCACTTGTTTACAAATCATGATTATTATGTTGGTATAAATTGCAGAATGGCATATAAATGGCAGAATTGCATACAAAACCACTGAATGTAATATCAGTCTAATAAATCCTACCTACATAATGCAAAATATTGTATTTGTTTATATATTTATTTAGTAGCATGGCTGGTAAAACGTGCCCAAAAGCAATTACAATTCTGATAGTTCTGAATCACACTTGGAGTGTTAATACAATATCCCACCTGATTCCATATAGATATCTATGCAACAAATGCTTTGGAGATTCTAAAATGTTTGAATAAAACTGGTGTAAAGAAAAAGTAAAGTACGGTAACTTTAGCACAAAACAACCAGAAGTGTCAGAAACCTCTGTCAGGTTTTTACAGGTGTCTGGGCCCCCACTGGTGAGACTTCCCTTCACTCAAATTTCCTTAATGGTGACACAGACAGCACTGAGCACCTTGCAGAGGATATATTCCTATCCCAAGCAAAAAAAAAGAAATACAACTAGGTGGAGTTCCATTTTATCAACAAATCAGATGCATAATTTTATCTTCTACAGTAGTGTAGTTCAAAAGTATGAGAGTTGAGCGTTAGAAGATGCTATGGACAGCATCTTCCATTTCATCAAGTATATTGATCTATATGGATCAACAAAATACTTTTTCCTGCAGGCTAGCTTCAGTTTATAAATATAACTACTTTGTAATGACAGCAATATTTACACTTAGTTACATAATTTGGTACATCTGCAAGTGCTCAATTTTTATACTGTCTTTTAAAAAAAAAAATATATAATTGTTTATTTATAGTTTGACAGGATAATGGATGTCTACTGCAGCCCTGCATAGTTTGTTATGTACAGTTATCCTTTATGGGGAAAAAAGAAGAATTAAATATGCAGTTAGCATATTTAACCCTTAAATTTAAACTAGGGATGTTCAGATACCAGGTACCATACTTGGTGCAGGTACAAGTACAGATACTTTTCCAGCTCCAAGAGTAGACTAGAGAAAAACTCAAAAGTTAGGAGGCAGCTGTCACTTGGCTACGGGGCTCCTGGGATTTGTGCATCCCTGTTTTAATGCATGATTTGTTTTCTATACATATATATGAGGAATGCACTGATACCATTTTTTCCAGACCAAGTACAAGTACCGATACCTGTCCAAGTACTCACAGATACCAATTATTTTTACTTTTTTTATTGTCAAGTGACAGTTTTTCTGAAACAATACAGACTAATGATTTCAGGATAGTGGTGGAGCACCAGAGCCCAGTCACAGCTGCAACCGCTGCAACCCTGGTAGTTCTCGTGAAAATGCCAAGTATCTGCACTGGTATCTGTGCATCACTAATTTAAAGGGTGCCCATGTAGGGCAAAGTGATAGGGCCCCTACCACCTTACAGTGCTACACACCTTCCTTCCAGGGTCACAGCCACCATAAAATACCCAGTGTTGGGCAATGATGACAGTACCATGTGACAGGTCCAATGATTGGCCACTAGGCCGAAGCACTGCATCATGGGAGGAGGTCACATGCTCTCCTGTACCCTTAAGCATATAGTGGCAGAAACAAGAACAGGCCACAGTTGCAGCAACATTATTATTTTTTGTTGAGATTTAGCCCTCATTCACACCTAACAATTCGTTGCCATTTGGAATTCCTGCTATAAGAACTTGCAAATCCAAATCTTCCATTAACAAGCGGCAGCTATCACCCATTCAAGTTAATTATCGGGTGACAGATCCTGTTCATTTATAACAGGGGATGCAGAAAACGAGATTGAGGGCTCTGTGTCCTCAATCTCTTTTTCTGTTTTAAAAAAAAATATCAGGGGTCTGTTTAGACTCCTGATATTTCCCCGAAGCCCCCCAACAGTGAAGTAAAAAAATAAAAATATTTAATAAAAATAAATAAATAAATAAAAAGTATAAATATAAATCATTTTTTACATTTGAAAAGGT